CGGCACAAACACTACAAGGCGGAATAATTGTTGTCTCTTAACCACTGGTGGTCTTAACATTTTCAAAACACGAATTGGCCTGGAAGTGTTGATAAACGTGCTACCCCGCCAAACGTGCCCCAACGCGGCACCCTGCCGCTCTCGATCGCCACCGCCCCCTGAACGTGCGGGTGGCGTACGACCGAGGTGGCCGGTGGCTCAAGGCGGCGGGAAACGGGCATCCGGCGCCAGGCGGACAACGCGCAGCATTGCTTATATAAACAACATCACGTGACAGACTCGCACGCCGCGCGCGTTGTCTGCGCCACTGGCCAGCCACCCCCCCCGCGAGAGAGTCCGGCAGAACAACGCCTGGGACACGTCCGCGGTCTTTAGCGTAAACCACCGCGCCCCCCGCGCCCCCCGCCGCGCCCGCCCCGCCGCCTTTTTAATAGCGACAATTTCCTGTTGCATATGCATCCGAATACGCTCGGATCGGACGGCGGCCTTAAGTGCGCCGGCGGCCCGTATCGCAGCGGCGTAGCTACGATCGCCATTTTCGGCGTAGAAAGGGGGAAACAATTTTCTCTGCCACACTGTGTGCAAACAGTTGCGTCTCCATCACTACAAGAAAAGCGAAAACAACCCGAGCACGAGTGGGCTGTACGCACCTACGCCTGTGACGCGCGGGTCCCCGTTTCCGAACATCTAAATCTTGACACGTGTTTCGCGCCAGGGCGCCTTCCTCGACTTTCTCCGCGGCGGCGACGCGAGCGGCTCTATCGAGGCCCTCCGCACGGAGCGACATCCCACCTTCCGAGCAGACACGGCGGTCCAGCCAATAATCGCCGTACAAAAACCGAAGCTTCACTCTGTCTCCTCTGATGCCGTCACTGGGATTGGCACAACCCGGCCACTCGACATCACGACGTCATTCCTCAACTTCCCGCCCTTCTCCCTTGCCCTCCACCCCGAACTGCCACTCGAAGACCGGCGTGCCGCAGCGACCAGCTCCTATCCCTCCAAACCGCACCCGCACCCGCTACAGGGAACATACCACACTTACAGCGAAGCGTCAAATACCACACGATCTCCTTCTCTATTCTGTCCTACGGTCAGTTCACTGAGAACGACACGTTTATCAACACTCCCAGCCAATCGTGTTTGAAAATGTAAGACCCAACCAGTGGGTTAAGAGACAAAATATTCCGCCTTTTAGTTGTGCGTAAGGTTAGTTCACTGAGAACGCATGCTAGTGCGAGGAGGAACCTGAATTAAAATAGGTAACCTATAGTTTAAAACGAATCGCGAAAGCAAGTGGTAATGAACTAATGTAAATTTACGGGGCTAGATCGAACTTGCAACGACAGACGAGTTCATAACAGAAATTCCATTGATTCCAGCTGTGTTAATTCAAATGTGACACTCAGCAATGCAGCCTCCACTTTGCAAAACTTTGTAAGGCCTTCGAATTGCCTTTGTTAGACATTAGAGACCTGAGCTTTCTATTTGAGTGTTTTATTCGAAAACAAAATTCTTGAGTGGTGGTATTTCAGATAGTTGCTGTGAATTTTAGGTGGTTTTCAATGACGTAAAGGCTGGGAACTTTAGTAGTACAGAGAGCAGTGACAAGCTTTGTTCGTGTGAAATAGTCTCCTGTTTACTTCTCATGACTCGAAATCTCGAAGCCCCTCTAAAAATGAATTTTCAAAAATTGAATTGCATATTAAGGGCAGGTGCATGATCGTTTTTATTATGAAGAGACTGTCTTTTCGCGCCTCCCTGAGAACTGTGCCTGACCGCCCACTAAATTCACATGTTTATCCACGTCTACGTAACAGTGAGGCAAACGCCTCAAGCTGGAGGGGAGTGGGAATGAGCTGGAATCATTTGTCTCTTCTCGAACTATAGTTTCATACAAAATACAAATACAAGTCAAAATAAACAGAACGTCCGTTTAAATCTGTGTGTTCAGTACACGCTCTCGCAAAACGTGCTAGAATAAAAATGTCTAACCTCGTTTACTTGTATTTCTTGATATCTCAAATTTTATTTGTTTCTGTGGTTTCCGGACTTTATTTATGAAACATACTTCGTTCTGTAATACGAGATTTGCTGTGTCGAAATAATTATGATTGATGTTACAACTGTTTCTAATACCCCTTTAACTTCGAGATAGCGAGGTTCCTTTGAAATTTAGTTCCATGAGAGTGACTGTCTTTTTCAATCGAACAAAACAAGAGCGCCGTGTGATGAACGAATAGTAGGCATTTCGTCATACTATCACATTACACAATGAGTAGATTTGTGCTGACTCGTGACTGAAATGTTGCGTGGGGTGTGGGTTCAGACTGCAGTTCTCACCGTTATTGTTTGGGCCTTCGAATGTTACTGCCGTTTTAGACCATAAAGATTTTAAACGTATTGCAGTGCTGTAATAATACTCTACGATTCTGCAAATTCGATATAACCTGCTAGTGTTTTGGTATAATGTACGAAAACTACTTAACGGCATTTGTTTGTTAAAACATCAGTGCTCTTACAGTTGGAATTATGTTCGCTAATATATTGCTTGTGAAGTGTGCTAAAGATTGCCTCGAAGTACATTAACATTTCATAGGTTTGTGTAGTACAATGCGTTAAAATCGTGTGATTTTGTTCTTTGATAAACCCCTTCCGCAGATATGAAACTACCACATTAATTTTGCTATAATCAAACTCCTCAGTATTTCTATTATAGCTCAAGTAGAATTCTCTCCTTTCATTACCGAAAACTCGCAAGCAAAATAATTTTCCAACGTACACTAAGAGGAACTTTCTGGGAAGCACAAGTGAACTTGGATTGTTCAAATGAAACGTTCGGGAATTTCTAACAAATGACAAATTAGGGTTGCGGTGTGTAATAATTAGAATCACAAAAAATGTAAACTATTTCGTGCCTGATGCTGTATTAACGTCGGGAGCCTATTGTTGCATCACTAAACATAATTTTCTTAGTCTCATATCAGAAATGTGTTGCCTTCTTAGTGACATCGTAATATTGTCATCAAGGATTATTGTCAAGGATTATTGTCGTGTCGATAATTGTAAAATGTGAATTGGATGTTGAAAACTTGCAAATTAGAGTTCATCCATAAACAGACCGGATGAACCGGATGAGATGTATTTTGACGACAGACGTTTCTTGTATATTTCGTGTAATATAAGTATTTGTATGAAACTCTTAGGCATTGTTTTAGTCCGAAATATCGAGCTTTAATTGAAGACATTTGATACTGAAACATTTCATTAGTTAGTGAACTTTTTGTCGTTATTGAAATCTTAATGTATTTTTGCTTTGTTAGAACTTCCAAATTACACTCGCATACTCTTCATAAAATTTTTACAATTCTTTGCGGTGTACAGCAATGTAGGCGCTAAATGAAATCGATGTCACCCCGTTGATAGGTTATGTGTAATTCAGATTCAAAGGAGGTAATTGAGCACTTCCTCAAACATACGCATTTATATTGTCATCCTGTCAGAGAAAACAAAAATCGGCGTGTCATCCCATGCAAAACGGTGTAGCATACTTTCCCCTCTGGTATAAATGATCAAAAAGTGCATTGTCAGATCCGAGCTTTATCAAATCCCAGGGAGAAAGAAGCGAGTTCTTTTTTGCTTGGGCCGCTGGAGCCGCGGTTCGCAGTCTCTTTAAATCCGCGGCCGCAGCGCAGCGTGTGTTCGCGCCGAACTGGTCGTGAAAGCGTGACGGGAAGTGACGTCAGCAAACACAAGCACGCGGCCATCTTTCATGAGCTCTCCACAAAGGGGAGTTTCTGTCCATCGGGTGTGCGTACGCGCGCGAGGTGCATATGTTTTATTGTTCCGGCGCGCCGGAGTACGTGAGGCGCGGGCCACGGAGGGTAGGACGGCCCCACGTGAACTCCGGTCTCTCCCGCTCCCTTTTGATGGCGCTGGACTGCGGACTCCCGTATACCGGCGGATTTGGAATCGGGGCGAATTCAAACAATGAAGATTCATTTTGTAAAATTACGCATGTTTACAACTACAGAAATTTTGAGTTGAGAGCGCTGTTATGTATCGGGATGAATTTCATTCTAAATTGTTTTTCGACCGTACTTTTGAATTTTCGAAGTAGTTTTCATGTTCGCATCGTTATCATTGTGGAGTTATTTTATGTGTCCCCGTTTAGAATACTTCGCCCACGTGTCAATGCCAATGCTCAATACATATTTACGATTACTTCATTCATCCACTCCCTAACGCTTACTACAATATTTCATCTTCTATCATGGATTCCATGTGATATATACATTGGAAATGCTGTATGTGAATAAGCTATTATAATTTATTAGTGTAAGTTTGCATGGATATGAAAAATTTCGCCCATATGCATATCAGTTTAATTTCAGAGGTTTAGTGTTTAAGAAACTTAAGATCATTTATTCTATTAAAACTATTTGTATTCAGCGTCAGGATTTTCCAATTCGTTCATACATCGTGTGTGTACTTAGGTGTTTCCAAAGCACGACCGATAGTTTTACTAGAAACGTCACGACTGAATGTAATAAATCATTAAAAGCACTATTTGAGATCAAAAGTTGTTATATCAAATAGCAGTTTCGAACTGTTTCAATGTTAACAGCATTCTAGAGCGAGCCTAGATTATAAAACAAAATAGGCAAAATCCTAGTGATAAAACCCATGTGGATCATTCGCCTCTGTTGATTATTCTTTAACACTTTTGTTGATATTTTCCTGGCCTTACCGTAAAAAGTGTTCTGGATGTGAAAGAAAATCTCAAAGTACTTATGAAACGATTACCTATTTGCCATCGATAGAGAATAATGACGTGTTGAAAATTCATATTCATGTATGTTTAGGTTTTGGTCCGTATTTTGCGAGTAGAATCGGAATAAAAGGTCTCGATGGAAACTGTATCGGTATTAATCAAACAAAGTGTGTTACCAACCGAAATTTAATTCACTCCGATGAAATTCCCTGCTTGTCTGTGTGTCAGTTTGTAAGTTGCCTCGAGAGATACGGAAGACTTGGCGTAAAATCCGAAGGCGGCCGCGTGAAAGGGGGAGGAGGGCCTGCCCGAGGCGACGCATTGTCGTAAAATCCAGTGGCGTCGGCGTGAGGCTCCGGCGAATGGTAATGAGAGTTGAAAGGAAGGGCGTGGTCCTGGAATTACGGATGCAGAGAGTGCTTATTAAGCTGTGTTTGGTCTGAACTCGCTCGCATTTGGCTCGTTGTGATAGTTTGTCGCATATTGTTTTTGCTTTCTTTCCGCCTGCCGCAGTTGGCACGGGAAGCACGCCATAACCCGCCCCGCACGCCCGCCCGCCCTCGTCCCATCATTCCGCGCAACAACGCCCCTCTCGCTCCGCCACGCCACGCCCCCCCCCGCCCGCCCGCCCCGCCCGCCCGCCACGCGCGCCATACGCCCCTCCCCGCCACGCCAACGCCACGCCACGTCCGCATCTTCGCAGCACTTTCTTCTCCTCTCTCTATAGCTCCGCTGGTACCCATGCGTCCTCTACGCGTCTTTCGTTCTCAGTCTCCATGTTCCTTCCGCGCCCTTCCCCGCCCACCAGCACTCTCATTACATCTGTACATTCGCTTTACATTGCTCTGGTTTGCCGCCCGCCACAGTACCATCGCCACATCTCCGCGTTCATTTGCTCCCTGTTCCGTCCCCACTCCGTCAAGGCCTACCCTACCAACATGATCGCACCTTTCTGGCTGGACCTTGTGGTCCGCCCTTGCGTCCGCATCACTTGCACTCTTCCTCCAGTCCTTCAGTTTTCTTCCGAGCACGACCCCGCTCAGATCCGGCCCAGCCCAGCAGCACGTCTCTTCTCCTCTACTGCTCTTAGTCTCCTGGCACTCGCGTCACTCGTCTCATGTTATGTTTCTTTCCTCCGCCAGGCCACGCCTAGCCCACCCTGCACCGCCCGTGCCTCCATCACCGCCACGCCCCGCCACGCCCCGCCAGCCAGCCACTCTCTTCTCCTCTCACGCTTTTTTCCTGTCGTCCGAGCTTTTACTTCCTACCCGTAACATTAGCCGGAGTCTTGCCTATTCGTTTCTGGCCTGTCCACCTCGCCCTGGCTTTCCCTCCTCAGCCACCCGCTGTAGACCAGCCTTCGTCTCGCCGCAAGCTTTTCGCCTCTCCGGTCCGCCCTACCGCTCGCGCCTCTCTTCTTCAGTTGTCATATTATTTTCTTGCACACCACACACTCTTCGCTATTCACCCTAACTCATTTTGATTCCTTTTTATCCAGCTTCACCGTACTCTCGTCTCACCTTCCGTTCTCTGACCCACTCGTTCTCTACTCGTCACTCTACCCACCGCAGAATCCGTATTCCTCAGTCGCGTTCCGTTGGGCTCTCTGTTTCTCTGGGCTTGCGTGTTGTGAAACGGTATGTCACGATCGTTCTCGTCTGCGCCACATTCTCTTTAAAACCATTCTCGCTCATGCCCCTACCTCGCCTCTCACATGCTGTAGCTGCCGAAGACTTCCTCCCCGCCCTCACCACCCCTTTCAACTGCCCCATCTGGCCCCTCCCACTTCTGATCTCTCCTTCCGTCTTGCGTCCTGTTTGGCGTGGTACTTGTTTTGTTCCATCCGTTCTCAGCCACCTCCCCCTCCCCCCTTCCACCTCCGCCGGCACTTACTCTTCCGCAACTTCTTTCCATTCATTCATCAGTGTCCCCTTTCCTGCACCTGACATTTCGCTGCTCCCCTACCCGTGTCATGTTTCATTACGCCCCTCTTTTCTCTCCGTTACTTTTTTCCGGAAACATTTTTTGTTTCGCACAGCCCTCTTGAAGTTTTATTTTTTTTCTTGTCATGTGTTACCATATAAAGTGCGCACGCATTTGGTGTCTCACTCACCATTGATTTTCTTCTATCCAATTTTTCTTTTCGTTCATTGGCAGTCACACTTCGCAGTGGCCTATGGTGATTTAATGTGCGGCGGTCTTTTCAACGAAAGTCGCCCAAATCCACTGATTTATTTACATATTACTGAATAATGCAGTGCCCTAAAACCTAAAAAGGATTTATGTTGTTATTCGGTGATTAGATCGCGTAAAAGATTCAACCAGACGTATTCAAATATTTCCGGCACATAGCCAGCGAGGACTGGTGGCTCCTTCCTAAAATAAAGTGCAATTTCCTTGTTTAATGGGAGAGGGTATTGTCAATTAGAGAGTGTTAATAACGAAGTAAACTAATATTACATTCACGGCGTGAAAACACCGTAAGTTGGACAGATTTGAATGGCTTTCAAATCACGACTGGCTGAAAACGAGTCAGCATTTCACAACTGGATTTCGCGCCTCGTTTTGTTGAATGGAGATTCGATTTGTTCTGTGAAATGTTCTCCTTTCGAGCGCTCAAGCTCCCCGAGAAAGAAAGTCTGCCCGCAGAACTGAGCCATTTGTCACATCGCGTTGCCCCGTTATCTCCCCAGAGCGAAGCTCCGAGTCCGCTCTCGACTCGCCCTGCGCCTCTCCGTTCGCGTCGCGGAGCTCCGTCCCGCTAGCCTTGCAGTAGTGATGCGACATCGATAACAAAACATCGATGTTCTACATTAAAAAATTGATGTTAAAAATACATCGACGAAAAACCATCGATGTTTTTTTAGACTGGATTAGTGACCGTTAACATTAAATTCGTGTGCAATAAAATTTAATTTGGCAGTGTTTATCCGTTCGCCGAATAAGGGTATGCATGATATGAGGATGCCGACCTTTCTCCCCTCGACGTACTTGTTGGCCATATGCCCATGTACGAAATGAATCTCAAGATAAAATGCAATGGCGTAGAATGGCAATGCATCTCGGGCTAGACAGTTTGGTCGTTGAAGATAGTGCAACCAGCATTTCTTTGGTTCCAACACAAGGATAAGAGTGTTACTATCAGATATTATTTCATATTTTAACTTTAACAGTATTGTGATCATGGGAATTTTTCATTCAGAAACAAAATATCGTGAGAGAAAAAAAGGTAATATAAGATTAATAAAACATCGGTGTTAATACATCGATGTTTCTACAAAAACATCGATGTTTTGAAAACATAGACTTCGATGTCGCATCCCTACCCTGCTGCAGTATACTGATCATGGGAATGTTTCATTCAGAAACAAAATATCGTGAGAGGAAAAAAGGTAATATAAGATTAATAAAACATCGGTGTTAATACATCGATGTTTCTACAAAAACATCGCTGTTTTGAAAACATCGACATCGATGTCGCATCCCTACCCTGCAGCAGGCGTCGCGTCGCGTCGCGTCGCGTCGCGTCGCGTCGGGTCGGCGAGGGCGGGCGAGAGAGCGCGCCGCCCCGCAGCGGCCAGCGCGTTGCGCCGTCGGCAGAGCAATCGAGGTGATCGATCGTATCTCATTAGCGTGAGTACACAAGTGTCAGGTGGCGAGGGGCGACTCTTAATGGGGGAATCCTCGGCGGCGGAAGGCTGGCTGCCTGGCTGGCGGAGCGGCGAGGAAGACAGGCGCTGCGCGTCGCGTCGCGCCTGAGCCCTCGACTGGTTTCCCTTTCAGCCCCGGCGTAAATCATGGGCGCCGCCGGCCGGGGACAGTGGGTGGGAACCATTACAAGGAGAACGTCGTCGACGGTCTGAGGCTGTGGTACTGCGATGGACACTGTATCTGTCGGTGTATCGGAAAGTTGAGGTACATCTGGAGGGGCCAAGGTTGTTTTCACTTAGCTTTCGGTGATATCTTCTCTCTCGACCGTTTGTGTATGTTTTCTGTTGAATACTCAAATTCAGCTAGGTAAAAAATCTGTAATAAATTCCTAATAAAATTGAAAAGGATTGTTCCGCTGTTAAATTAGCGACTTTATTACGAACAAACAGAAGAAACTGCATTAATCTTTTCGTAAACGTGGCATGACACCATAGTGTCAGTCACTGTTTCTGGCTGACAATTACTACTAATGTACTAAAATCCCTCATTGCAACTTGCAGTTGTTGTCTTGGATGAGAAATGATCACAACTACATTGAAGCCTTCTAATCTGATGTTAAATAGTTGCAGCAGTTGTATATTTCATTAGAAGGGCGAGGTAATTATTTATCTGAGACGTATTATCCTCACATGTACATCACTTAAGTTTCCTAACAGTTCACAAAAACGAGGAAGCCTAGAATAAACGCAGTTTAGCGCACAACAACCGAGCGTTCTGGCCATTAGTGAACGGCCTTTCTCATTCGACGGACTCAAGCACGCGAAGGCCCCTTCTCCAGGAAGCGGGCTTCGACCGCCACCAGCAGCAGAAACACTTCGGTTAGTAGTGGTCGGTGAATCGCGCCACTAAACGTTTTGTAAATAACGCCGCGCTTGCGACGCCTCGCCTGCCGCGGCGGCGCCGCCGCCGCTTTTAAAAGCGGAACAAAAGCGCAGCTGGTATGCCGGGGCGTTTTCACCTGGCCGGCCACGCCACGCCACGCCACGCCGCGACGCCTGTGACTCACCACGCATCCTTGTCTCTCGTATATGCATATGTCGCCCGCCACACGGCTCCGCTCGGCTGTGCCATATCGACCGCAGCGTGCGTTTGTGCCGACTGCCGTACTGAGAGAGACCGGCGGCTCTCCCTCAGCGACTACGAAGTGGGATGAGGCTCCATCCAACTGTCGACTGTTTATTGCGTTATTCGTTCGCATTATTGGTCGCACGTTGGAGTCGCAGCGGAAGTTTTGAGAACGTGCCAGCGGTTTTGAGCGGATTTCGGAGGCGGACGTGCGGCAACAGCGCCGGCCAAAAGCCAAAGGCAAAGACGTCCCGCGAGAGGTAGAGGCGGGCCAAAGGCGAGACGTTCCGCGGGAATATTTGCCGAGATGCGTCACCCACTGGCAGTCACAGCGTGGGAGGCGGACCGACACATAATGCCCCTCGTCCTTCTGCCCCTCTCCCGGGACAGACGGATCCGCGCCGGTGTCATTGGTCGAGGGCACCGCTCTGCCTGTGAACAGCGATTGTCACAGAAGAGGGCGAAGGAGATTCAGGACACCACGTTTCGGAAAACTGTCGGTGCAATGGGCGATTTTGCAAACTAGGGATTGATGTTCGTAAAACCTCGTTTAGTTGCACCAAATAATAATACTTAGTGTTTCTTAGTAGTTGTACAAAAATAATACTTGGTGTTATTTAGTGTTACTAAATAGTACTATTGTGTTACTTTTAGCAAATGTTTTGCTTTTTAATGTCGAGCATTCCATATCTCTTGTTTGAAGTTGCTCTTAATTGCATAATTTTTAGCTACATTCTGACGCAACTACCGAAGGTTTGTCACAAGAGAGGGCAATGGATGTTCAGGACAACGAGTTTCGGAAAAGTGTCAGTGCTAAGGGCGTATTGCAATCTAGAGATTGATTAGCGTAAACCTCGTTTAATTTTACCAAACAGTCCATTGTTTTTGAAAGACAGTAGCTATTTCAAAATATAATACTTAGAAATACTTTTACTTGTAGCATTTTTTTTTCATGTGGAGTAATTAATTTTTATTTTTATTCGATGAAAACCCGTGCTCTTAAATGCAGCTTTTTAGCTACATTTTGATGAATCTATCAAAGCTTTTTGACTAACCCCGTACTTTCAAAATTCGCCGAACTACGAACGAAACCAATATGCCTAATGTACGTTCCATGTAGCTGGACTTGTGATGACGTAAGTGAATGTTCTTTGTCTGGCCGTTCTCTACCGTCTTTGACAGATTTATTGAACCTTGTGGAACGCCACTAATTTTGTTCTCGCGGCCCTTCCCCGTTCGCTAATTGCGTTGTCAGTATTACTCACGGCGAAATTGAGCGATCGTCCTGGGAATCTGAATTGTAATGAGTGAGCGCAGGAGCCGGGAATCGTTTTTTGAAGTTCCAACTGAAGACGGTGGGACGGCCCATAACGTAGGGTCCGTCGAGTCAAATGACGTGCAAATCACGGACGGTTCTTATGGAATTTCGACGCGGGTTTGCATCGAATTTCCTGGGGTTCTCATATTCCACGTTCCTTTCATTCCACTACCTACTCCCACCTTTGTTCTCATTTCTCAACACTTCTCATATAATCGTAATGATTAGCGTCTCTACGTTTCAACTTGTATGCCGTTTGGGGGTACCGGACGAGAGCCTTGTTGAGATTTTTTTTCTGCGAGATAACGGTGATCGAGCGGACTTCCCTTATGACATAAATAAATATTAAAGATGATTGTGTAGAGATACAAAATTAAGATGTAACTGAAAAGATCTTCTCGGGTGGCTCGTGAACTGTGGGCTCGTTTTCTTTGAGGCGTTTCGGGTTCGGTTTCTATCTGGTGTAAAATTAAAGATTTTGCTTTCTAATACAAATCGTATGAGTTTGTGTAGTTGTGTGAAGAAAGAAAGCTTAGACGGGCCAAATACGCTATGTACGGTGATGGACATAGGTCATGCTCGCCACATATCTCCCTTACTCGTAAGCGTGGATTAGAAATAAAAACAGGGCCCTAAGAACACCGCTTACTGGCCGAAGTAGGATTGATCCAACCCAACGAGCTAGAATATACTACATAGAGTGTCAGTCGCTATAGTTTCAGCGCTCTTGGTGGAGGCTCGCCGAACTCGAATGCCTTTTGAAGTCAAAACATACGAGAGACGGTGTAATCAAGGTGTAGTAACGTAGTGCTTGAATTCTTTGTTTCCTAGAGGCCACTGCTTTGACTGCAAAAAACATGGAGATGGCTTTAAAGACGGAGGCGTTTCAGCCACTCTATGTAGTATAATCTAGCTCGTTGATCCAACCCTACGAAGTCAAATGTATTCTTCCGTGACTGCAGGTGACTTTGCTCTGTTTCGCAGGTGAGCGTGGTGACGAGCGACACCACCACCGTCGTGCCGGACGAGTGCTGCGGCGACGGCCTGGGCGATGTGGTGGTGCGCCACACCAACTACGACGAGCCCGGCGGCGGGGGCGGCGTGCTGGCCAACTACTTCCACCAGCTGACGCTGGAGGCGTCGGCGACGCCGCGCAAGACCGGCGGCTCGCCGACGCCGCGACGCCCGCTCGTCACCAAGATCCCGTCGGCGTGCTCGTCGCCGTCGGGCAGCGTGGCGG